CCAAGGGACAAGGTCCTGCTGGTGCAGCTGCTCAAAAAGAACGAGGCCTGGGTTTGGGGTCAAGCTCAGAAAAGGGCTTTCCAAAATTTGAAGAAAGCTTTGAGCACCGCCCCCGTACTTGCTCGTCCAGATTTCTCTCTGCCCTTTCTCCTTCAAACGGACGCGAGCCATTACGCGATCGGAGCGGTCCTCACACAAGAGCATAACGGGGACGAACACCCTATTGTTTTTGTGAATCGAGTCTTGACCGCTCCCGAACAAAAATATTCCGTTACGGAAAAGGAGTGTTTGGCCGTCTTATGGTCAATAAAAAACTCCGTCCGTATCTGGAAGGGTACACCTTTACGGTGATTACGGATCACAGCAGCTTGCGCTGGCTGCATAATTTGAAAGATCCTACCGGGAGGTTGGCCCGTTAGGCCCTTCAGATGCAACAATATTCCTTTGAAATTGTGCATCGCAAAGGAGCCCAACACCAGGTGCCCAATGCACTTTCCCGTGCATTGGTACGACCGACCGAAGGTGACAATGAGTGCACCGACACAAGCGATTTTCTGGCGACCTTCAAGGATATTGAGGATACCTGGTACGCTAGTCGCTTGGAAAAAGTTCGGTCACATCCCGTGTCGTACCCCGATTGGCGCATCGAAGACGGTCGTTTGTATTTTCATCGTCCGTCTCCAACCCAAATTATCGGGACAGACTACGACGCGTGGAAACTCATCCTTCCGAATGAACTTCAGGAAAAGGTCATTAGAGAGGCCCTTCGCCGGTCACCCGGGCGCAGAAAAAACTTACAATCGTGTAAGCCGGGGATATTACTGGCTGGAAATGTTTCGGGACGTTCGTCGCTTTGTACGATCGTGTCCCGAATGCCAGCAGCACAAGGTCGAGCAGCGTGCTCCTGCTGGTCTCGAGGGTCGGCGGATTCCCAATCGGCCCTGGTCGGTGGTGTCCGCCGATATAATGGGCCCTTTTCCCTTAGGACGAGATCAAACTCGGTACATTGTCGTGGTTTTAGACACATTTACAAAGTGGGTTGAGTGTAAAGCACTTCGAAAAGCCACAGGCTCCGCGATTCTTCCGCTTCGCGTTTGAAGACCTGGTGGTATTTCGGTGGGGATCGCCCGAGATACTCCTCACAGACAATGGTACCGAATTCTGTAATAAAGAAATCGATAAAGCTTTAAACGAATGGGGAATATCGCATCGTACTATTCCCCCATACCACGCACAGGCGAATCCGGTAGAGCGAGTTAATCGCATCCTTAAGACGATGATTTCGACCTTCGTCAAAAAGGACCACCGAAATTGAAACGTGCATTTGCACGAATTCCGATTCACCGTGAATAACGCCACGCACTCTTCCGTTGGCGATTCCCCAGCGGTGCTCAATCTGGGCAGAGCACCGCGCGTGGTAAGCAGTTTGCGCCGTGCCGTGGAAGGAGAACCATTGCTTGAGAGCGAAGACCCGCAAGCATGGGCGCAACGCATGCGTCGGTTACCGCTGTTACACGACTTAGTAACAGAGAGCCTCGAAAGAGCTCACACGCGACAAGCGCGTTATTATGACGCACACCGTCGTGATGTTAAAATTACGAAGGCCCTGTCGCCGGTCGTCTATGAGGTCGAGACGAAGGGAACCCGAATGGTTCCAAAGGTCCACGTCTCCGACCTCAAACCGTTTGTGGGCGAGAACCCGAACGAAGAGACGATCGAGTGTGATAATAACACCTCGGTTCCATTTCAGCATGAACCGAGGCAGACGCGGAACCGACCGCGGAGAGACGACCCTCCGCCACCGGGCAGAGGAGCCCTTCCGATCAGCCCACGAAGGGGCCACCCTGGAACCCCGGAGGAGGCCCCCACCCAACGGAAGAGGGGTCGCCCCCGGAAGCAACCCCCAACGGCGACAGCCGCGGAGGCGCCGTCGCCGCAAGGGCCAGCAGGCGCTCTGCCGAAGGCATCGATCCCCGCGCCCCGCGTCCACGTCAGGCCGCAGAGGGCGCCGATTCCCGCGCCCCCCGTCACTCGTCGGCCCCAAAGGGGAACAGGGCCCAGGGCTCATCCCCCTCCACGGGGACAAACAGGTCGGTGGCCACTGACCTCGCAACCTCCATGGGGGAGATGTCCGCCGGAGGTACCGCGGGACCAACAGGCCAGGGGCGGTCTGACTCAGGTCTTGTCGCTCCTGTGCGAACTTATCCGCACAGGAGCCACGGCCGCTGAGCTCCCTCCGCGATACCACCCGCCCAGGCAGTGAGGCCGACCAGGCGTGGTTTTTATATATAACAAAAAAATGTTTAAAAAAAAAGTTTTTGTTTTTTTTTTCTTTCCCTATAGCCTTCTTCGCTAGATTAAGTTTCTTTGTTTTGTTGTCGGTTTCGATTTATTTTTCTTTAATTTTGGTTTTTTTCCTTCTTTTTTTGTGTTCGTATTGTAATGTCCGCGCCTCCGTGGTTGATCGCTCCGCAGCAAAGGGACCCTTTGCTTGCGTCGAGTGACCCCACGTAGCAGGCGTTTTCCTGGTCAGCCCCGCCTTAAGTGTGGAGTTCGGACGAGCCAAATTTTGGGTTTTGCGTTGGAGGGAGCCCTCTTACCGGCGTCCCTCCTTCCGCAGGCCGTCCGAAGTCCACCAAAGTCCGTTTCCCCGTGTTCTCAGCGGCCCCTTCTTCTCGTCTACCGCTCTGGCGGCGAAAGAAGGGTTAGTTGCCCGGACAGTCACAACTTTCGTTTCGTTTTCTTTTTGGATTCAGCGTTGAGTCTCCACATAATTTTGTTCTATTTCCCTCTTGTTCTTATGAGGTCAATAGCAGTGGGTAGACTCCGTAACGAAGCGAGTGGCTGGTCCGCCTGAAAGTTTGGCGGTTCAGGGAGAACGCGAGCCAACGGCTCGTCGACGACGAAACAGCTAATGTTATGGAATTCGATACTTTTCGAATTCCAGAGCGTCGAATTGGATTAGCGGTAATCCAATTCCCTGTGATCTCTCGGGTAGGCTGCCTAGCACGGCTATGAGAAGATGCACCGCGTTTTCTGCGCCGCTTCTTATTCCCGTGCTCGTCGCCGTTCGAGGCGCAATACGCGCAAAGTTACCGCCGCACCGCAAAGCACGCTCACTGTCTGATTGATTGAGTGAACGTGTCCATTGTACCACCCCAGTGGCCCTACCTGAACTCCGCGAATCGCGGACTGATTTTTTTTTCTCATCCAATGTTTTTTTTTGGGTTTTTTTTTTAGGTTGCCCACTCGCTGCGCGCTGGAACTTCCAGGACTGGGGGGGAGGGAGTATTTTACGAGGCCTTCCAATGTTTGAGGGGGGGGGGGTGACGGGGCAGAACTTCTCTGCTCGTCACGAAGGCACCCTAACCACGGAGGGTCCTCGCTCCTTCCACGCCGAACACGCCACGGAGGTGGTCCGTTCCAGTATGGAGGGATCTGTGACCCGCGGCCCAATAGGGACCCCCCTTTTTGCGCCCCCTTGCGCTCGCGATCAGCGCCCCGTCCCCTCGCGAGCTTGGCAAGTCGCCGGTCGTGGTGTCCTCCACCCAAGGACCCCGGTGTGGGCACCACCAAAGAGGACTTGCCACCCTCTACAGACGGTCAGTCCCTCGCCAGCTCGCCCCGCAGCTGTCACGGAAGACAGAACTGCAAGGAGAGCCAACGACGTAAGGAGCCCCTTAAAGCTCCTGTGTGGGGAGAGCCACGAGCCGGCGACGACAAGAGCGCGAACTTTGGGAGATTAACGGTTGAACCGCGAATCGCGACGGATACGCGAGCGAGCACCCTTTTACGCCTTTGACGAAAGAGATCAGTAGTCTGTTTTTCGGAGTGAGCCGTGTGTGGTGGAGCCGTACACCCCATTAGGAAGGATACACCTACGGCCCCCAGAGGACGCAAGGATTTTGGAACCTCGAGGTCCACTCCAACCTTGTAGGGCCCACACGTTGGGGTTCCCTTTTGTGGAGTGTGTGTGCGAGCGCGGTTTGAGAACGTGCCGCGTTTCGAGGGAAAGGGCCCCCTCGAAACGCGTGACCGTTAATTCCCGCTAAGACCCGCTAAAGGGTTCCTGGGGGAGGGGAGGGAGTAGGGTGCCGGAATCGTAATTGCAGCGATGTGCTCTCAATAATGACATTATTCAAAATGTTCTGCCGATTTACAAAGTGTTATCGTTTTATCGAATTACGCGCCAGTCGCAAAGATGGCGCGCGTAGTCAGGTGTGTATGGGAGTATTTTTGAAGAGTGCGAATCGGGAAGCGTGATAGATTGAATGTTTGTAAACGAGTGTATGATTGGCAAGGATGGCGCGCGCGCGCGAGAGAGAGAGAGAGAGAGAGAGAGAGAGAGAGAGAGAGAGAGAGAG